CAGAAAAACTGAATACGACGAAATCAAAATATAAAAGAGTAAAAAGATTATTTTATAATAATCTAAATAATCATAATGTAGAAATACATGCAGCCGTAAATGCGTAGGCCGGATAAATGTCCACAACAAATCACATCCGTGAGAACCGAGATATCGTATAGGTATGTAGGCAAGGGGTACGGGGGACCTCATATATAAGGGAGCCCGAATCGGCCTGTATTCAGACGTGTACTACCACCCATTAGTGCAAGCACCTTCACGCCACTTTGTACAATATTATTTGGACTTAGAAAATTATCGAACATTAAAATAAAAATTCACAATATATTACATCTGTCTTATCATTCATTTATCTACCACGACTACAGCATCAAATAAAGTGTCTGCGACCTGCATCTATAATAACTTGGTAGCCACTTATCTACTGTCAGTACTACGATAGTAGGTACCAAGCACCAAGATTATTACCTGGCGCAGTCGAACAAAGGAGGTTCAAGGAGTCAAAGACGAGGCGAGCAGTCAAAGCGGCGGATTTAAATTTCCAAAGGCGAGTCGAGCAGTCAAGGCAGCGGATTTCAACTTCAAAAGGCGAGTCCAGCAGTCAAGGCGGCTACATTCAACTTCAGAGATCCAGTCCAGACGCAGCGGCTACACCACGTCAACAGCTCCACGGAGGTAACAGTCAAGGTCTGATCAACCAATTCGACTCCGGAATCAACGAACAATTCAAGACGGGCCAGCAGACAATCAAGGAAAATGAACACAGCAGTGGCGACAGCATTGTTGTGAGTATATTATTTAAGTTGAAAGATAGATATAATTAAAATTGTATAAGTTATAAGTGCACGTCTCACGTTGATTTCTTTAGAAAAAAAAAAATCAGCGTTTATTTTATACCAAAATATTCGAATAAAAATAAATAAAGAAAAAAAAAATAGGAAACAAGCTTGAAAAGAACTATATAGGTATTTTATGATAGACAGCTGTAGACTGATCTAAGATTTTTGTGGTAAATAGACGGCAAGGACCGATCTAAGATATTTTTGTGATAGGCAGCAGGGACTGACCTAAATATTTTATGGTATTTTATAATAGACAGCGGGGACTGATCTAGGAATTTTATGGTATTTTGTAATAGACAGCGGGGACTGATCTAATAAATTAAAGTAGACGGCGATAGGCTGATCTAGGAAATTAATGCACGCGCGTAGCATTTTTGAATTATATATGGAAATAATTGATTAAAGTGAAAATATAAATTACGAAACAAACCAAGGCAGTTATTATGTGAACAATAATGAAAAAGCAGTTGTGTGCATATCAGATGAACTTGTGATTAATTACCTATATATAGTATGCGGAATACTAGGAATAATTGTAATCATAATGCTGTTGATAATGACAACTATAGTAAAGCACTATAGGTTAGTCAGGAAGGAGAGATATCGATACCTCGTACGAACATTAGAATTTACGGAAATGGATACAATACGAGTCCGCGACGACAAAGCAAACTCACGACTTTGAAAAAAAAAAAAAAAAATTTTTTTTTTAGAATAGAAAAAAAATAAAATTAAAATTAGTTAAGATTAAATAGTGTTAGGTAGTATACAGTTAAATAATAGAAAAATATAATTATAGGGAAACATACAAGTTATTCTGTATCAAACTGGATTTCGCCATTATGAATGGGGAACATGAAAAATGTACGATAGGCGACGGAAGTAATATACGACCATGTTTAACGAAACATATACGATTAGCGAACAGTCAACTAGCTGAACCATTCTCGGAAGACTAAATAAGAAAAGTGGAACAAAGCATCGCAACATTTCTCTACGACATGTCAAAGGGCAGAGTCGGTAACCAATATTGTCAAGAATTAGTCGAACACATGGAGTATATACCGGAACCAGAAATATTGTTGGAATATGTAGATCAATATACGAATTAAGAATAGTACAAATGATAGGATAGAATATAGAATAGACTTAATGATAGGATATAATAAATAGTTATAGTCTAGGAAAAAATTTTATTGTAGAATAAAATATGCATGGTAATAGATTCCTAGTAGATTAGTACAAATGAACCTAGTACAAGCTTCTTTGTAGAAAAAATTACGTAGCTAGAAATTAATTTTATTAATGTAAGAGTAGAAGTAGTTAACGCAATAGTAGTTTGGATTATTTTAGAATAGCAAAGCATATTATTAAAATGAAAGAACTTGTAGGGAAGAGGAGATAACGGCACTGGTGATCACTGATTCAGATGGGACCAGACTGCTAGTACAACTCGGCGGAAATACAAATGAAGACCCGGAGTTAGAAATGATAATGAGTGTACAGGCGGGAGGTCGTCTGGTGGTAATGGTGTTGAAAAAAAAATGATAATTACATATGCGAATTACAACTGTTTCGCTATACAGGGGAAGAACCTATGGGACAAGTTACACATAACCTTAGGGCATTAATTGATGTTTACTATGGAGATCGAGGTAACATCCTTCTCGGTAGGTTTCCTCAACCAGAGATAGTGGAACTATGTCAAGGGTTATGGAGTTGGTTCCGAAACCCATACGCGTGTAATGTATCGACAACACCATTTCGTTACCACCTGGATGTCAACCGGATACCGGGAGTAGGCGGAGCTAAGCCCGTAGGCGTAGCAAGTATAGTATACAATCGAACGGAACCACCTGCACTCATTGGAAATGAAAACGAAGAACTACTAGATAATAACATAATACTGGCAAATAGGGTTATCAACGAATTTTGGGAATTGAATAAAGAAATAAATAAGGAAGCATGGATAAATTATATGAATATTAATAGTTATAAGGTGAATAGGTTAAGGCATAGGAATAATATCGAAAGTAATGTTAGCATTAATAATGATAATAGTAATAACAATAATAGTAGTAGGGAAATAGATAATAGTAGGACACATAGCAATAGAAATAGAAGTATGTTACGTAGTATTAGGAATGTATCAGCAAGCACTTTTAGTAGAAATATGACTGAAGCAGCTGGTCTGTGGTGGTCGGATAGTGATAGTGATAGTGGTAGTAATAATTTAAGGAACATAGCACCTAATAGTACAATTAGTAATATGGACGAAGTAGACGAAATAAGTGATAGCGATAGTAATAATGACATTCATAGAAATATACATATTAATATACATATTAAAGGTACCAAGCACCAAGATTATTACAATATCTAATTTTAATTTTAAAAATAAAAGGCTATTCCAGTATATTAAATATGGTTTAAAGCGAGGATTAATATAATAAAAGGTTAAAACAGCAATTTGTTTATTTTATAATTAAAAGGTATAACAAAAGACAGATAAAGTTGTAACAAACTGAAAAAATTATTATCCAGGTTCTGATAATCATAATAATAATAACATGTACAAGAATGAATATTAAAAATGAAGTACCTTATCGGTTTTTAAAAATTTTGGTTTAATATGTTAAATTGAAATATTTATTGAATGAAAATAAGTCCTTAAAATTGCGCGATTTATCCGCAAAATGGTGATATACTAAAAAGTGAAGTAGGTGGTTTTTAATTTTTTGCGATGTTTTTTTAGTTAGCTAAAAAAATATTTGTCCGCAAAATTGCGCGATTTAACCGCAAAATGATGGCACAATAAAAATTAGAGAAAGTTAATTTTTTGAACCATTTCACCAGCATGTCAACAGTTTTTTAGTTTTACTAAAAAACTATTTGTCCGCAAAATTACGAAAATTATCCGCAAAATAACGTATGTATCAAAATTAGAAAAATCGAAAATGTACATGCTGTCGAAATGGAGCTGGGAATAAGTGTTTTATAATAAAAAAGTGGGCAATTAGGTGTCGCTCTGCTGTACAGTAGGTTGCAAGTGGGTCACTGTAATGGATGGAGTTAAATTTGAATTCAATGATATAATATAATTTTATAAAAAAACCATTTTGAGTGAAGACGGTCAGTCAGTCTATGATCGGTGTCAGTTAGTCTATGATATTACTAAGTAGGTATATTTGATGATATTATTGTGAATAAAGTTATTTATATAATATGACCTATTTACGTGCAGCCATGTTTTAAATTTTCAATCCTTGGATACAAAAGTTAAACATTTTATACATTTTTTACTGCAAAATAATTATAAAATTTAAAATTTGATACATTTTGTCAAAATTCGAACTGTAAATATTTATAAAAAAAAATTGTGCCCATGTATTTTTATATTTTTCAACTGCTATTGTAACAGTATATCAGGAGCCTTGTATTAAATTTTCACGCATTTTACTCAACAAATAAAGTTTTATTGACATCCACTGCAAAAAATACTTATAAAATAGAAACTGAAAAAGTTCCTAAACAATTTAAAACAAATCAAAATATTTTTAAAATGTTATCGAAAAAGCAAATTTTTGATTATTATATAAAAAACCAGTGAAAATTTCATGTATATATGTTCATTTGTTTTAGAGTTTGTAACGTCACTAGTTTTTCGTGCACAATTATTATTATTATTGCTATTATAAATCATTGTTATTATTATTATCAAAACCGCCTTATTATTATCATAATTGTTGCGTGCTCGATTAACAATATAATCTGCAAAGTTATGTCTCCACATACTACTTCCCCCCTAATCTCTACACAAAGGTTCAGTTGTGAACACAACAGCTGCCGGTCGGATGACACCGTCGTTCGAGGAAGACGTGCCACTAGCGGTACCGACAGTGCAACCTGTACCCACATTATAATTGTCAATACCCCTAAAGCGGCCCTCACGCGATCAATATTACTGACAGTATAATTATTGACAGTATTTACATTACTGACAGTGTACTCCTCACATGGTCAGTAGGTTATTGTCATTACTTAGTTTATTTGGCATTCGACTAGTGAAGGTGCAAACTTCATTGAACAACGATTGTCAACTACTTTAATCTTTGTAAACGTGTCTTTAGTTATTTGAAAAACAATAATTTTATTATAATGGACGAAAATCGTCGTAAAGCGTGCATAGCAATTATTTTAGCGTTTTCTATTCCAAGTAAACGGATAACTAATAGGAAGCGATGGGTAAAAGAATGGATTAGCAAACGTAAGAAGTATTGTCATTTAAATCTTTTAAAAGAAATCCAGCTTTCCGACCCAAAAGACTACCAGAATTATTTTCGAATGAACATTGACATCTATAATAAATTACTAAGCATGGTAGAACCACTTATTATTAAGAAATATACTAATATGAGGGAAAGTATTCCTCCAAATCAAAGGCAGGCTCTTACTCTGAGATACCTTGCAACTGGGCGATCGTTTGAAGACTTGAAATATTCTGCAGTCATCGCACCAACAACCATAAGTGAAATCGTGATGGAGACCTGAAAAGCTATAATTACTGTTCTCAAGGATCGCATTCAGGTTAATAAAATTATACCTATTAATGTTTTATAATAAATAATTATTTTAATTAAATAAACAGCACATTTTATTAGTTTTTAAAATATCATTTGTTCATAGTTATAATCATTTAGTAATTACACACAAATTATTATTGATAGGCTTGTTCATTAAAACTTGTAGAATATGTTGATAAATTTTCGGAAAGTGGTATTACATTTTCTGCCGATGTACTTCTAGAATGATCCGTCCATGTTAATGGTGTTGTTGAGCGACTAAAGTTTGTTGATTCTGTCAATGACGGAATGTAGTTTCCAGTAGTACTTTGTGGGTTAATGTGAACTGAATTTTTATTCAATGTCCCAAGTTGAGCCTCAAACAAAATGTCATTTAAAACTTTTTCTGCAAATAGTTTTAGATTTGAATCGAAAGTTGCGAGTTTACTAGCCCACACTTTTGCTATGTCCAAACCACTACCTTGGTTATTGTCTTTAGCTAAATAACCACATGCCAAGGATAACAATTCGTTTTGTTGAGCCACATTTGATGAAGTCTTTAGTTTTTTCGATTTTGGTGTTAAGAATGATGAATTATCATTTATCTCAACTAGTCCACTGTCATTATTACCTCTCTAAAATCAAATAATATTAAGCAAATTAAAATATATATATATATTCTGTAAACAAAATTATTATTTAATATATTTCAGCTTCCGCAGACTACTGAACAATGGGGAAGTATAGCAAATGATTTTGGATGCAAATGGAACTTTGAAAACTGCATCGGCTCTATCGATGGTAAACACGTTAATATAAAAAAACCTCAAAATTCTGGTTCTACATATTATAATTATAAAGGTACATTTATTATCGTATTAATGGTAATAGTTAATGCAAATTACCAGTTTATTATGGTTGACGTTGGCGCTAATGGCCGAATTTCGGATGGAGGAGTACTATATTATACCAAATTTTGGGAAAAATTTCAAAACCATACTTTAAACATTCCACCGCCGTCATGTTTAACAAATACTGTTGAAAAATACCCGTATGTATTTCTTGGAGACGAGGCATTTTCATTACAGACTAATCTTATGAAACCATATAGTCAACATGATTTGACAAATAAGCGCCGTATATTTAATTACCGCCTTTCGCGTGCCCGTCGTGTGGTAGAAAACGCTTTCGGAATACTAGCCAGTCGATTTGGAGTTTTTCAAAAACCAATAAACCTCGGAATTAGATAAAGCGTCTATAATTACATTAGCCAGCTGTTATTTGCATAATTTCTAAATAGAAAATAATAAACATCTTTATTGTTCAAGAAATGTACTCATAACAGAAAATTTGGAGACAGGCGAACTTCAAATTGGCGATGAAATAACCGAAAATGTGTTAACTCCATTGCAAAGAAATCCTATTCGAAATAAAAGTGCAGATGCGAAAATTGTAAGAGATAAATATTGAGATTACTTCTGTGAAGAAGGTCAAGTCCCATGGCAGTTTAATATTAATAAAATAAATTAACTATAAATAAACATTAACTATTTTATATTTGTATTATTCTTTTATTATATTTTTAAAAATAAAATAAAATATCTTACCTTGTCATTATTTGTATCGTCATTTATCGATGAAATACTATCTACTGGTTTTTCCAAATCGGCCAAAAACGCCAGTTCTTCAAATAACCAACTCGAAGGTTGATAAATGTCGTCAGCTCCAGAGCCACTTCTTTTAGAGTCATGAATTTTTTTTTAAACAAATACTGACGACTCGATATCCGAATTTTTCATCAGCCATCAGTATCGTTTTTTCATACTGACAGTACATCAGTACTCACATCACACGATCAATAATACTGACAGTATCCAAAATACTGTCAGTAATATTGATCGTGTGAGGGCCGCTTAATCATGCGATGCTGACCTGTCCCACTCTGTTTGGGCAGCAGGTCCGAAGTATGGAGATTACGGTTTCCTGCTCCACCGATTTTTGTAAAGAAATGTGAGCCGTAAGAAAAAGGAGACAAGAAAGAGATTTGATACACGATGTAAATTACATTAATTTTATTCTCCTACCGTCTTACAACTATAACAGCTAAGTGGCTAGGGGTGGGAGCTTATGACTAAAATAATTCACTACATAACATAATAATAATTTGTAACATACGAAAATAATAATCTGGGTAACGTTACGTGACCCTGGAATGACGACGTGGGTTGTTGTGACCCGTGAAATGGTCGACGAACTCCCGGCGTGAATGACGGCGGCACCGGGGACAACTCGCGCGTGTTGAAGTAGGTACAACAATAGTTACGCGAATAATTACGACGACGGGTAATTTGTATATACTATCGAAGCCGACGGTCATCAACGCCAAAACAAAATCGGTGTGTCCGTAGCGGATAACACACGACACCGTAAATCTTTATTTTCACAGACTAAAATCTTTATTTAACAGAATGTGGGGCGAGCCTTTTAGAACGGCTACTCGCACACGCACACGCACACCGGTACTGACGACGATATTTGCATATCACATATTATATTACATAACACGGCCGCCGACCGATTATGCCTCGTTAGACTCGAATGTGACTCCAGCACGACCTTTGATCTGGCCGTGCTCGCGTGCGTGACTTATCACTGTACTGTGGCGGCAACACACTCTCTCAACTCTCAAGACGACGTCCACAACCAGCGGCTGGATACCACCGACCATCGTCTCGTTATATTTTTTACCGAGACCTCTAAGCCGACACAACGTTTGGTAAATCACGGCTCTCGACTCAACCACTTCTGACTCGCGTCAACTTCGTATTATTATTATTTTTCTCGAGTCCGTACCAAACAACATGATGGGCTAAGATCCTCCATGGGCCTACTGGTGGTCAGATATCCGGTCAACTCTCGTTTTCGGCAGCAAGACGGTTGACGCCAACCGCGTGTGTGTTGGTGGCTACTCAGCCCAGCCGTCCCTCTGTCAAAAGGACCACATCTCAAGACCTGTGTAACGTATCAATGGAATATTCCCCCCTCTCCCTCTCATGAATGACTGTAATAAATTTCTTTTAATTATCATTTTCGTTTCCTATGCGATATCTCAGGCGGTAACCCAACGGTGGCCATATTATTATCATTTTTACATTATTATTAAAATCACTATAGGTGATGGCGGGCCTAGTGGGCCGACCTGCATTTCGCTGATATTATTACGCATATATTATAAAGCACTAGTCGTGTGCGCCAAATTATTATTTACCTCATAATTATTATATTCCTATAACTGCCATGTGTCAAAACAATTATTATTTCAAAATCATCTAACTTTAGCAGCCCCTCTCCCGAAATGTTAAGAAAATTAAAAAAATATTTTTATGGTCTATGATAGTCCCTCAAAACGTTCGGTAAAAGTTGATCAATTGACCCCCGAAAAAAAATTCTGGCTACGCCACTGGTCATGGCTATAGCTAATACGTGGCCTGCAATGGCGACATATGCCCATAGCATTAACTATCGACAATTGTCAAAGTGGCCAATGTCAAATGTAATTTTGTCATACGGCATCAGAGACTTTAGCCCTTTTAACTCAAGTACCTAACATAATCAAATTTTAATGACATCGGTCCAATAATCTCAATTTCGTTCGAATTATTATGTTGTGTGGAAGTTATATGTTTTTGTTCTAAGTCGATAATTATATTATGTAAAATACAAATTGCATTGACAATGTGGTCTGCGTTTTCCACTTTGGTTTCAATTGATTTCAAAAGAATTCTAAATTTTGATGAAATAATACCAAAAAATGCACACTCAACTGTCATTCTAGCTCTACTAAGTCTGTAGTTGTAGTATGCTTTATCGTTATCTTGAGCCTGTTTTCGTGGAAATATTCTCATCAAATAATTTCGAAGGGGGAAAGCTTCATCCCCAAAACAAATGGTGCTAAGACATTTGAATTTGGCAATTCGGTTTCTTTTGGTAGCTTCAGAGAACCATTCTCAATACGTTGATAAAATGTTGAATTTTACAGAACACCACCATCACTGTCCTTGCCATTCGCTCCAACATCTATCATTACAAATTTGTAGTTCGCATCAACAACTGTCATTAGAACCATCGAAAAAACTGTTTATAATTGTAGTACATGCTTCCAGACAATTTTGGACATCTCAATCTAATATGCTTCCCATCAATACTACCTACCCAATTCGGGAAATTCCACTTTTCATAAGATTCTAAAGCTATCTTTTTAAATGTATCAACTCTTGGAGTTGGCATATATTTGTATTTCAATGCGTTCCAAATTGCTTTACACACTTCCGTGACAATATTTGAAACTGTAGTTTTGGATATTCTGAACGAGAAGGCAATTTGTCTAAATGCCAGCCCTGTCGCTAAAAACCTTTTAAAATACATAAGTAAATATGTAATTAATTCCTTCACGAATTTCACTATCTGCAGGGTATCCAGTTCAAAAATAAATGATTACACTATGTACCTAGCTGCGACATATATATTATATACTTTCCAAAAATGTTGAAGTAATTATTATTTTTATTTCTTATAACTATCTAAATAAATTTCAAGTGCTTCTTCAAATTGTTCACAAAGTAGTTTTATTAAACGGAAGAAAAAACAATCAAACAAAGATTTTGAAAGTGAGTTGTTGAAACTCGAGGAACAGAAACTAACTGCATTACTTCAATCTAATGTAACTCCAGTTATAACTAATGACGAAGACATGCTATTTTTAAAGTCACTTCATCCATATTTTTCTTCTATGAACCCATTACAAAAACTGCGCATAAGAAACCAAATTCAGACTGTATTTATAAACGAATTATCAACCACACCACAACAGCCACCATCATTTAATGAAGAAATATCATATCCCTCTTCTACCCCATACCTTCATCAGTATTCTTCTCAACAAATGCATTATCAAAATACACGTGCAGGATTGTCATCAAACATGCATATCCAACAGCTAATCAATCCAACTAATAATATACAAGGTGGAACATTCAAAAATACACCTGCTCCAAATTTTAATTTTTAATCAAAATTTCAATAAAAAATAAAAAATGTTTAGAGTTTAAAGTATATTATTAATATATTTTTTATTTTTCGCTGTTTAGATAAAAATATTTAATGATTTTTTTCTTTTTATAAAAATGTCATACATTTAAAGTTTAAACTGATGTATTTTATTATTTTAAAACGTCTTGCTTAAGAATATTGTATAATTTTTACTTTATTTTGTATCATTAAATGATTATGAACATGAATATTATATTATTAAAGTTAATTAAGACTATTGTTACTATAAAAAAGATAATATTTTAAATATGATGTTTACGCCCGAGAATTCAACTGTAACAGCCGAAGGACCACTCGGTGATGCCCGAGAACAATTTTGTTTATGAGGAGGGTGTTTGACGTTGGCCTGTGTCACTCCTACCGCCTACTATTGTGGTTGATAGGCAATCCTAGGTGCTTTCGCCTGATGGTTGGTGGGTAGGCAATTCTACGTACGATGACGACAACGACGAGGATGGGAAAGACCTATTTGACGGAGTGATGATGGTGCAGGCTAGTTATGGGAAGGGTCTCTGTGGCCGATTCGGTGTGGTGCAATGACTACAGAGCTCACAATAATAGGGATAAGACTTAAAACTACCTTAACCCTACTGCAGTCTTGAGATGACCCACTGGATTGACGCTGTTGGCATTCGTCGACCTTGACGACCTGGGGCGGCCTCTCACACAACGTAACCATACCTACGTTGCTGGCGGACTTACGCGCGGAATCTGACGGCCGCGGCACCGACGTTGACAACAACGAGCTGCCCAAGGGTGATGACGAGAGTAATAATAACAAAGTAGAGACTTACGAATTTTTGTTGGAGATCGTATTTTTATTGTTTCTCAGATTGTTTAGTGACACACAGTATAATAATAAAAAATAATAATAGTAATAATCGGTAACCGGGTGCACCATGGAATATAAAATAAAGGAGGGGGACGAGGTGGCCGAGCGGTCTAACGCGTCGGCTGCGGCGCTGGCAGTCGCGGGTTCGATTCTCGACCAACGGGCGGAATTTTTCTCCGGGCAAGTCACGGTGTCCGAAAAACAAGTGCCACCATCCCCCCACTCCGGTTCATGGCAGAAACCTACGGGTGCCCCAATAAAAATTCTGCCACCACAAACACACGTGTTAACAAACCTACCGATTACCCCTACAGTACCTCAGGCTAATGACTGTAATGTTTTGTCAGGAGCGCACAAGAACACAACACGGAGGTTAAAATACGAATGAATCTTTATTATACATTTTTGAGGTTATGTAATAAAGTTATAGTGATAAATAAATTGATAACATACATTACAGTTCCCTCACACATAAAAATGAAAACAATAAAGATTTTTAAATAGTTACTTAATTAAATACATAATATACAGTGTATATTATATTATACATTCATGTAGTAATATATTAACAATACAATTTAAATATTTAATAATTAATAAATATGATACATTTTTTTTTTTTTTTTTATTATTATTATTAAATAACAACATTTTCATAAATAAACATAAGTACATAAAATAAAATAACCAAAGTGAATAATATACTTAAACTGATGTAATGACTTAAAATTACAAATTTAAACGTTTAGGTGGTTTGATTGTTCTACCACTCTTCCTTATGAATGTGTCTTTTGACACAGAGTCTAATGAAACATTATTGTAATTAGATGCAACCTCTTGATCTAATTCTATTTGTTTGTTATCTACTGTACTTTTGTCGTCCATGCCATCATTCAACGTTTCAACCTCACTACCTTTACTAATCACTCTATCAATTATTTGATTAACATGCCTTTTCCACACCATACCATTGCCTACATCTACTAAGTATGTTACAGGTGATAATATTTTTAGAATTATACCAGGTACCCAAACATCCCCATGTTCCATAATTTTTGCACATGACTGTATCTTTAATTAAATAAACTTTTTCCCTACAACCTCTGTAATTGTTTTTTGCCACTACAATACCTTTATTATAGTTATACTTAGCAAAAGAATTCAACCTGTCAAAAGGTGTAGGTAATAACCGTCCCAAGTGTAACTCAGCAGGACTAACCCCTGTAGCACAATGTTTGGTACTGTTATAAGACAATACAAATTTAAAAATATCCATTTCAATATCTGAATTACTTTTGCATTTTTTAATAAAATTTTTGAATGTGCGAACCAAGTTCTCGGCAGCACCATTAGTTGAAGGATTGTAAGGAGGTGTAGTGATATAAAAAACCCTATTCTTTTTCAAAAAATCTATCATCTCCTTTGAACATAGCGATGAACCGTTATCCGTAACAAGTTTAGCTGGAACACCACAATAAGCAAAGTATTCACATAACACCTTGATTGTTGAACTAGTAGTTATATTTAACATATGCTTAACAAAAATCCACTTTGAAAAGGCATCAATAATAACTATAAACATTTTCCCATTAACTGGTCCTAAAAAATCTAAATGTACCCTTTGTGATGGACCATCTGGATATGGCCAACTATGTAAAATACTTCTAGGTGGGTTTTCACTGTAAGCTAAACATTTCATACATTCCTTAATAATGCTTTCAATATCTGAGTCGATTCCAGGCCACCAAATATAAAATCTAGCAATACTTTTCATCTTGACAATCCCCAAATGTGTATTATGTAATTCTGCTAACAATGCAGTTCTATACTTAGGAGGAATTACTAAACGATGACCCCATAATAAAAAACCTTTCTCTATAGAGAACTCATTTCTACGATTAAAGTAAGGTTTCATGTCCTCTGATACTACCTTAATATCATCCCATTTACCAGTAAAAACTCTAAAGAAGACTTCTCGAAGCAATGGATGCTTCTTAACTTCCAAACAAATATCCAGGTCTGAAATAGATTTAATATTTTCCGTTATTAAATTTATAGAATAATTGTCTAACTCAGAATTATTAGCATTATCTGGAAACTCCAATGAAAGTCTGGACAATGCATCTGCATTACCATTATCAGTGCCCTTAATAAACTGAATTTCATAATTATATCCTGATAAAAAAATAGCATAACGCTGTAAACGATTAGCTGCCATAACGGGAATACCTTTTTTTTGGACCAAAAATCATAACTAATGGTTTATGGTCTGTCCTAAGAATAAATTCACGACCGTACAAGAATTGATGAAAATATTTTATTGCATAGACAATAGCAGTCGCTTCCTTATCAATTTGAGCATAACCGCGTTCAGAACTACTCAATGTTCTCGAAATAAATGCAATTGGTTTCTCAGATCCATCTTGTAGTTTATGGGACAAAACCGCTCCAATCCCAGTCGGGCTAGCATCACATGCTAATATGATAGGCCATTTCGGATTGTAGTGAATTAATATTTCTTTAGATAATAACGCTTTTTTAATACCGTCAAAAGCTAATGACCATTAGTATAGTTGAAGCCTCAACCCAAAAAAAAAAAAAAATAAAGGAATATATTTTGTACTCGCTTTACTAGCGGACCATACACATCATTCACGGATCGCTATATTAGCAGATCACAACAAATAATATTTATATTAATAATAATATTGATCGCTATATGAGCGGATCACACAATATATAAAACAAAAAAAACCTATGGACGCTGTAATAGCGGACCAAAAAACACGAATAATAAACACAAAAGGGCGTTGGCCGCAATAATAAAAACAAAAACAAAGTTTTTATCTCATAGAGATAACATCGAAAACATTCATCTGAGTCAAAAGGCCGACAGATAGTTTTTATGAGAAAAACAAAGAGAATATAATATACAATATGAAATACAACAATCGTACAATTATAATAATTATCATAATCGTTTTTCAATAGTAACGGCATGAGTAACGGGATGAGTGGACGGAAGAGGAGGGAAGCGCAGTTAACGAGTTGTGTCCCGATGATAAAAGTGGGGTACACGAATTGTGTCCCGATGATAAAAGTGGGGTACACGAGGTGTGTCCCAATCATAAAAATGGGGTACACGAGTTGTGTCCCGATAACACGAATTGTAATCTAACTGTTTTATGAAGTTTAAAAATATACTATTTTGTTAATTGAAACAAAAGTTTTTATAAATTCGATTCGATAAATTTTTCCATTTCAATGTATACCAACATATATTTTATAAGATATTTAGGTACTGAATAAAATTCGATTCTGTCGATTATTATTATCGCGTGGAGATAAGGTGTGCATGGAGCTACAACGATTGTCAGGCCGGGCGCACATTGAGACGCAGCGCAACGCAGAGCGACGCAGGGTAGGCAGGGCAGCATAGCCAAACATTTTGTGATACATAGGTTTGAATTGTTGAGCGTTAATTGAAAGACAGGGCAGGACAGAGAAGTTCAGTGCATGCATGAACCTGTCTCACGCAGTGTTTGTGACACAGTTTACTGCGAACGTGTCAAACAGTTTTCCATAAAATAATAGATTTTCATATAATTTTATTTGAATATAATTTAATACCTACAATGGAGGAAAAATTAATTGAAGCCGTTCGTCCACACAAAATATTATATGACACTAGCCATGCTGAATATATGAAAACAAAACTAAAAAATGATTTATGGGACAAAATTGCTGATGATCTTGAATTAAAAAATGGTAAGTAGTAACTTAATTTAATTATGCAATATGATATAAAATATGAATTAATAATTTAGTGTAGGTCCTTGTAATTAGAAAATTAAAAAAAGTTACAATTACATGTAAAATACAAGACTAAATTGTCCAAATTCTATTTTTATACTAGATAATATCAAAAATAAACGTGATTATTTATAAATATTAAAACGTTTCATTTACCGATAACCGATGAAAAACCACTCGGGTGACTAGGTTAAAAATAATAACAACAACATTGTTTGCGCCAGAGCGACATTATTATTATTATTATTAGTTATATCACCAAATTATTTTAATTAGTGTCACTATCGCCGACCGCTCCGCGCACCTCTATCTCCCGACCCACACCGTATACACATCATACCTATCACTAAATCATATCTTATATTATACTATTTTGTGTGGGTTAACAATTATATTATTTTTATTAAGTTAGTGTAGCATCGATCGCAAACCCGTGTGGTTGAATGTCCGGTCAATTATTGCAGGCGCAAATCGCCGAAGTTTTTTATTCTAATATTTTATAGGTGCTAATCACCAAGTTCCGTATTATTATATCGTCGCCACGGGTTTATATTATTATAATTTATATATTATTTTGTAAGGCGCTTATCGCCAGCGTTAATTTATATACTATTTTCTGTAAGGCGCTAATCGCCAACGTTGATTTATATTTTATTGTTGTAATTATTGTTGTGACGCATAGTGTGTGCCGTCTATTATTTATTATTATTATGAAAATTATAGGAAGGGTTAAGCTGGCCAGCCGATCACCGTCATAATATTATTGTGAGTTCTTTTATATACATATTTTATATTTATATTAGCATTATTATAATATAGCTGTTGAGCCAGAAGGGCTACATATTATTATTTCTAGCACAGCTCAAATAGCTGTGGCAACAATTTATTATTATATTCGTTCGGCCAGAAGGCCCATGTATTATAAGTTATAATCACATCATATTATATTATAATGACATATTATTACAATTATTTATTTGTTTGCTGAAATTTATTATACGCTGATATTATGCCTAAACCCTTATTGTTATAAATTCATTCATATAGTTTAAGCACACACCCACACAACTACACACTTACACACCCCACCGCCACAACTAGTACTCGCAGGTTTTGCTCGGCGAACCTGTCCAATTCCTGTTGAGTACTAAACCATATACACACATATACCACACAGCCACATAGGTCGATCGGTGAGTAGTGGTGTGTTAGCGCACGGAGTGTTTTGGTGACCGGGCGGCACGGCCTATTATTGTTCGTACCCGGCCCGTACAAACATGGTTTTAATTCAATATTAAACCATTTTAATTTATTTTATTTGTATTCACATTTTCCTATCATATAATATATAAAAATTTGAAATATTTAGAAAATAATGAAAAGTGTTATTTTAGTATTATATAAAATACAAAATTCAAAAAAAAAATTGTCAGTACTTTCCTCTAGCTACACTGTCTACTTGCCAAGGTACACTTCCTACAGTATTAAAGTAATCTGTATACTTTTGTCTCACTAAAAAAGCGTTAGATCCAGTTCTGCAATTGTTGTTGGCCAATGGAAGTAACTGAGTATCCGGCATTTCACCAATTTCTTCTGTTATATTATTTGAAATAATCGTTTCTTTTCGCAAATAATTGTGTAACACACAAGCCGCTTTGACAACATTGTCAACACTCTGTGACTGTTCGATCATATTTGTCATATTCTCGAGAGTCATGTGGCCGCCTCGAACATTTCACGGTCGCCAACCACGGACCGAGGCCCGAAAGCCGGAGTGCCGTGGATTTTTTTTTTAATATCTAAGAACGGGATTACATTTGAAACAGTAATAGGAAAGTGACCGACGGTGAAATAATAACACCTCAATTTGGGGGGAAATATATATATATATAGGTTTATTGAACAAATTTAGGCTTTAAGTTGGTGCCGAGAAAGCCGAAGGCATAAAACTCGGTCGAAATAAATTATGGTAATAATAATAATACATAAAATAATAATAATGCATTTTAAATAATAATGATGCATTCCACCAAATAAAATATAAACATTACTCACCACACGGCTCCGACGGAGCGGTTTACCGGCGGGAGAACAACAATAACGTACCATAATACATAAGTACAAATAGTACAATAATAGTAATAATATAATAGTCTAAAAGTCTTAAAGTACCGGCCACGGTGAGAATAATAATAACAATGATGTACCAAAAACGTTACCAGTAAATAGTGTGTGTCCTGTGCCGCCCTTCGGCGCACCAGCAAAAACGCTTGCTACTCGCTCATGGTGTGGTAGCTGAGGCAGGAAAAAAGGTAGTGGTGGCTTTTGCTGGTGTCGGCCAGAACTTTTCGATCTCGGGTGGCACGGAGACGACGACAGGTGAGGGAGGGAGTCACATTCGTAAAGCTAACATGAGTGGCCGGTACTCTGAGCCGTGGGTACTAGGAGGGGAGCGTGTGTGCGACTGCCGGTACGGTGGTGCAGTATTGGATCGGCGGAGACTGAGGCGCGCGGGATAGTATGCTTTATCTATCTCGTCGCATGTCACGCTCATACTGTACCTACTAGTACAATTATAAATTATGATAATGTTGGTTTGCGTTGGACGTCACAACTCTCTACTTTAATTTCAAATGGTTTTCGAAAAACGCGAAAACGGGACGCTAATATACCAAAAGTACATTCACTGTTTGTCGTGCTCGTGAAAGTCTGTAATTAAAAATTTTATTTTCCATATTTCCTACAACACTTTTTTTCGGATAAGGTCTCATTAAATTTTCCGATAATGGAAATGCTTCGTCCGCTACAAAAACATATGGCAACGGTTGTTGAAATACAGGTAAAAATTCTGGTGGTGGAATTTGTAAAGATTGTCTGTTCATTTTTTTTGCCAACACACTGCTCGTAAAAATATTGGCATCACTAAATCTTCCCATTGATCCAACATCAACACTTATAAATTTATAGTTTGCGTCAACAAGAGCCATTAGTACCAAGGAAAAAGTCTGCTTATAATTAAAAAATGATGTACCACTTTTTGGTGGTTTTTTAATCACGACATGTTTGCCATCCAAAGCACCAATACAGTGTGGAAATTGCCATTGTTGTTCAAATTCAAGTGCAACTGACTTCCACATTTCCATTGTAGGTTGTGGTAAATACAAAGGTTGCATAGTGTCCCATACCGCGAGTGCTACTTCATTTACAATTTTCGACACAGTTCTATCACCCATTCTGTAGCTGTAAGCAATACTTTTATAACTGTCTCCCGAGGCCAAATACCTGTAAATTTATGAATATTAAAACTAAACTGACATAAATCTAAAATATCTTTAGAATACCATTTTTTAAATATTATTGTTGATAAAAACTTTTCACTTAGTAAAAAATCTTTAAAATTTAATA